GCCAATTCCTCTGTCAAGAGCACACAAGGATGTAGTGAACATGATATCTACAGGAGAATGCAGAAGCATGTGTAGGACTTGGCTCGTAAAAGCTACACCTCGGCAATACAACAATAGCTCGTTCACAAAGGAAGAGCACAAGGCAGAAGCACATGAGGCAGGCAGAAGCACATGAGACAGAAGGGCACGCTTGGAAAATAGGAAAACTGCTTCTTAGTTGGTGCACGTATCCCTTAAGCGAGCCAGCCATAAGCAAGCTTGTTTGAAGCAGTGGAGTAAGTGTCTCACAAAACTGTCAGTGCAGTCAGCCTTGTGATTGAGGAGGGCACGGAGCCAGAAAGCATGTTGGAGAAGAGATATCTGAGGGAGGCCGCCTCAATGACAAGGCAAGGCAAGGTGTATTGACAGAACAAAGAGGTTGCGCAATGAAAACAGCAGGATACGATCGCCAGCTTTGTGTCTAATATTCCATTCCCTTCATTCACAACCCAGCTTCCTTTCGAGTTCTAGAGACTAAATTTGCGACAACATGTCGTCAGACACTGCGTATTTCTAGCATCTGCCCCTCCCCCCCGCGAGTGTGAGGCGCATTTAAGCTAGCGTGTAAACGGGTACTGTAAAGTAGACCACCTCTTTTTTCCATCGGGGAATGTTGGAATGATGGGAGGAAAGGAACACAAGTGATAAGGGGAGCGAGCAAGGAAGGGAGCAGCCAAGGCAAGTAGGGCAGGCAGAGTAGAGTGCAGTGCAAAAAAAATGAATAGACAAGCACACGTGGAGGACGTAAGAGGAGTGGAGAAGGGACGAGTGATGCTTGAAAGAGCAGCAGCAGCAAGAAACCTCACAGGGTGATCATGCTGGTCAGTGAGCCAATGTCAGCTGGGATAGCGCCGGTGAGTGTATTGTTGAAGAGCCACCTGCACGGATAGAGAAATAGGGGTTGTGTGCGTACGAGCATGCGGACATGCGTGCGTGCGCGTACACGGACAGGGAGAGAGGAGACCAGAACAAAGAAAACACGTGGCAGGGCGTTGACCGGTGTGCATCACACTCACAGGTGTTGCAGCAGGCTGAGCGCAGTCACGGTGGCAGGGATGCTGCCTGGCAACTGGTTGCTTGCAAGATCGCTGTGAGGACACGATGACGGTAGCAAGGGGGGCGGGCTTAGCAGTTGAGCAAACCACAAGAAAAACCACAAGGCCTGCCCACCCTTGCGACCAGACCGGCCCGTATCGCCCGCCAATCGCCGAGCAGAGCCTTAGCCATGGGCCTGAGCACGGGTCCGAGCCGAGCCAGCTTGGCTCCAGCTGAAGTCAGCTGTCGTTATCCCGAGTTGAGCCATGTCTGCGCAACACGAGCCGAGCTGACTTTTGTCCGGCTCACAAATGGGCCATTCCGGTGAGCCGGAAGCTGGCCTGGCCGGCCACAAGCCACCCTGCCACAAGCGACCGGCCACAAGCCTCTAGTGGCTTGCCTGCGAATTGGTTCTGCTCGAGTACTACTCGACAAGTCGTACTACTGGAAGCGAAATAATGGTGGATTCTCAAGGAATTAGAGCTAACCAAGGTTTCGGAAGGATATGGTGATGTGAAGAAGTATGGGCCTAGCGAGGGGAAGGAGCAGAAAGTAATGATACGAAACAAACTGAAAAGAACCAGACATAAAGCTGAAATAACCAGATATGAAGCTCATTTTATTCCCGGATTGACAACCACGACTGGAATTCCTACTTCTCGTCTCCTCAACTAAGCTGCTACAAGACTCGCCGAAGCACGCCACGCCACATGCCAGAAAAGCACTCAGGGCGGGCTCGCTGCGAGCTGCAACGCACAGTCAGAGGCTAGGCTCGATGGTTTTCCGAGCCAATCCTCGGCTCAGTTAGTTGGTCAGGCCAACTTAGCCAGCCACATGGATAGACAACTGCCTGGCCACAACTTTTATTAGGCCCGATGACAACTGGCCGGTGAGGTACAGGGGATCAGAAGAGGTAAGAGGGCCAGGGATAGAGAGATAGGGGGAGAGAGCAAAACAATGTTAACGGCTTAGAGGGAGGCCAGAAATGGGAAACGGGGGCAAAGACAGGGAAAAACGCGGGAGGAGGGAGGGGTGGGCTGGAGAAGAGGTGATGAAAAGAAACCTGTGCTGTGGGAAGAGGCGTAGCTGTGCTGTGGGAAGAAAGGTGGAGTGGCATTTCCCTGAAGCAAAACCTCAGGCCCTGAGTCTCAGGGCAACACAGCACTGAGATGAGGACGTACAGATAAATGAGCTTCTTGAGGCTGCTGAGGGAGTTTGGAATCTGCCCTCCCAGCTCGTAGTTCCGGAGTTGCCTATTTTATGGTGTGGTGATGTTGTGTTTGTGTGTGAGTAATGGTGTCACAATGATGGTGAGTGAATGGTGGTGTGATGATGGTGTGTGAACGATGGTGTGGCAATGATGGCGTGTCAATAATGGTGAGCACTGAGCATGGGTTCTCAAAAATGGCAATAAGTACATCATGGCCTCTCAGACTCAACCTCTGACTCCCATACTCTCACTTCCAACCTCTCACTACCATCCTCTCACTCCCATACTCTCACTCCCATCTTTAGTTGGCTTGGCATGGCACTTCACGCTTACAGGGGTTTACGTGTACGTGACATTTGATTCTCCTATGCTAAGCATTTTAACAACTTACATCACCTTACAGATGCTTCGTCACGCATACACTGCCATGTTACTGCCTCGTGATGGTCGGATCGGATGGGGCTGCATATTTGGGGTAGCCTTTATTTTTTTCTTTTGCCGTGCCCGAGCAACTTCAATTTGAATTACGAGTAGTGAAAGGTAAAGGTGAACTTACACCTTTGCGTGACCTAAAAAAAAGTATAACTGCCAACTAAGCTCCCATCCTCTCACTCCCATAGCCTCCCTCACATTGCCTCTCTCATCGCCTTACATGATCACGATCATGCCGGAGGGATCGCACGTGAGGCCCGTGGCACTGCTGCAGTCCGGACTCGCGCCACTCCACCCGGGGATGCTCCGCCCCCATGCTGCCTGGCACTCCTGCAGGAATTGCACTGCAACGAGTGGCAGTGGATGGGGGTCGGGGTGAAGTGGGGGGTGAGGTGGGATGGGAGGCCCTCCCTTGGAGGGTTTGGAAACTCTCCACAACAAACCCCATGACTGGCATCGGTCTGAAGACGACTCACGCTCAGTGATTGCCATCCTGTGTCGCCCTTGCCCATGTCGCTCCATCTCGCCTCTCTCCACAACAAACCCCATTGCTCTCTGTCCTTTGGCCTTGCTCTCTGTCCTTCGCCCTTGCTCTCTTTCCTTTGCCCTTGCTCTCTGTCCTTCGCCCTTTGCTCGCCCTTATTCTGTGTACGACGCCCTTTTCTCTCTGTCCTTTGCCCTTGCTCTCTGTCGCCCTTGCTCTCTGTCCTTTCGCCCTTCCTCTCTGTCCTTCGACCTCCCTCTCCGCCCTTTGCCCTTGCTCTCTGTCAGTCGCCCTTGCTCTCTGTCCTTTGCCCTTGCTCTCTGTCATTCGCCCTTGCTCTCTGTCCTTCGCCCTTGCTCTCTGTCCTTCGCCCTTCCTCTCTGTCCTTCTTTCTTCCTCTCTGTCCTTCTTTCTTCCTCTCTATAATTCGCCATTCCTCTCTGTCCTTCGCCCTTCCTCTCTGTCTTTCGTCCTTCCTCTCTGTCCTTCGCCTTCGGTCTGGGTCCTTCGCCCTTGCTGTGTCCTTCGCCCTTCGCTCTCTGTCCCTTGGCCTGCCAGGCGGTCATACCGCCGCACGGGTGGCGCGTGTGGGGTGACAGCGGTGCAGTACGCCATTTCGGTGGCAACCAGGCATGATGTTGATGCGTGCGGCTCTTCCGCTTGCCGCGCCGCGGGGTCTCGGAGCGATTTCCACGCGAAATTCCATAATTGATTAAAATGAGCCAGTCGCCTTCGAGAGACACTTGCCTTGAGTGGCTTCGAGAGGCACGGCCTTCACCATCGCGACGGGCGCGACAAGGACGGCGAGCCACCACGCCAATGCCCACGCGCGCTGCACGCGCTCACGATCACGTGTCGTCGCCGTTGAGCCCGCGGCAGCCGGCCCCCGAATCATCTCAAAAAATCCCTAATTAATTTGGCCCTCGCCTCCTCCTCAACCCTTGGCCCCACCCGCAACTGACTTTCGGTCTATCTAAGTGGTTCGCTGCCCCACCGACTCTGACGCACGAAAAGCGCCAAGCCGGTACTAGTACTTCTACGAGTGGGCTGCATTCCTGGCTTTCCAAACTAGGGTGACCCGTCACACAAATCCGAAAATGCAAGCCCTCCCAAAAGTAACTCATTATTTTGTAACTTCGGCAAAGCAACTTTTGCCAGGCAAATGAGTTGCGCGCGGTTCCGAAATGTGTTGGCAGGCCAGTACACACTGTAGCCTTTGAATCTCATTGTCAGTGTAGCAGACGCGAGGCAAGCCGCCATGGATTTCTTCAGGGTATTCAATCCAGCATTCCGTGAAGCAGAGTTACCAGCTGGCTTTAAGATTCACAGCTTAATACTCCTCTTATCGCGACGAATCGATTGGTACATTTTTTTATGTTCATCACACGAACATCGTATCAAAAGCTTCTCGGGATCAGCTGTTACGTATCTACCTGCTGGCTACTTCCAAGGCTTCATTATCTGTTCCCCTGGAGTTAGCTCATTGCGCATCTCACAAGAGCTTCGCGCGTTATCGTCATTGGTCCTCTTTATTTCATGATACTACCAAGGGCTACTGATGACTCTCCTCAGGTTTTATCAGCCACAACCCAGCACCTGCATCGGGAATACTGGTTCGACAATGAAACTTTATGGATATATTCTGTCGGGCTCAGACACACAGCATTACAGGCATTTCTGGCCTTTGCAAGTCGTCTGTTGCTGCTTTATTATCATCATCGCCCTATGGCGCCGCGTCCTCCTCCCAAAGAACGCGCTCGGCTGTTGCCGAAGAGTGCTGTTGTCACTGACGCTGCTTCAATGCCTGCTGACAAGGGGAAGAAGGTGGATGACAATGAGCCGGTTACTCCGGTTGCGGGAAGTTCGGGACTATCTCTGGACGAAAAGCTTGCTGCGCTTGCCTTGGCGAATGATAATGGTCTTGATGACGAGTTCTCGGATGATGACTCTGACACCGAGCTGGAGTTTGAAGTCTCCAAGGATTCCACTGCGACACTCCGTTACACTGCGATACTGCTGCTTCCTCTGGTTCTTCAGCCGGAGATAGCCCTGGTTATCGTCACCGCGAGAATGTTGCTGAAGCGTGTCTGGTCTGCTTTACTTTCTGACGGAGCTAACACATTGGTTGACTTCCAGGATATTCACCCTGCATACGTGGCGAAAACCAAGTACAGCAGGCTCCAGTTATCATTTCTGAAGGAAGCTGATGCCATCAAAGTGCGTCAGGCAGCTCTGGAATATCAGAAGCCTAACGGAACGACGTACCCGCTGCACTGGCTACACACGGAGAATGCGGCTTTCGCGAAGGAGAAGGCCACGAATCCGCGCGTTATTGAAGCTGTGTTTAAGGACATACCTGCGAGTATCACTCCGGAGGCGGTTGAAGAGATGCTGGTGAAGTATAAGCTGAAAGTTCGCTAGGTCACGCCATTCCTGGAGAGCCACTGCTTTCACCGCGTTGTGCACCCTGTATCTGGAGCTAACACATGGGTTATCAAAGGGCTGGTTGTACCGCACCCTGAAGATAAGAAAAGGCGCTGGATTCATCAGGGCAACCATCCGCACGAGAAGGGCAAGATGCTCCTGGTTCATTACCCTTTGCTCTCCTGTCGGCTCTGTGGGGGACAGCATTATGATAAGTTTCATGATGCCTTTACCACTGACCGACAGCATAACATAGAGAAATGGAGCTTGAGCTTGGGTCGTGTGCATGGGATTAACGGTAACCGCGTAGCAGCACACTGCCATGATTCTTCCTGCCTTACCTGCCATCCAGTAACTAACCCTCCGGCCGTTTGTCGCAGCTGCCTCGCTTTCTGCAACGCGTCTGGTTCGCCCGATCCTGCTCGATCCCGCGATTGTTCTTATCTCAACTGGAAGCGCAAGAGAGGAGTGGATCTGTGTTCAGACCTGCTGCGGGAAAGCACAAGGGAAGCTGTTTATCACTGCTGCGGAGCACATCACTTCCGCACGTCATCTGCATGGCCAAGGGGAGCTTGGTGCTGTCTCTCGCTTAACACGGGAGAGGGAGAATCTCCACACTGTTCGCAAGGAGTTCGGAATCTGATGGACCCGGTTCAGCTCACCAGAGGGTTTGCGGCTGGATCGATGTTAACTGCTGTGTCTTGTCTTACCTGCCTGTGGATGCGTAGAGGCGTGGAAGGAGTGATTAAATGATTACACGAAACAGTCTGTCATTTGCGGGCCTGAATGTCAACGGCCTGGGAGATTTCACAAAACGGAAGCGAACAACTGCTTGGATCAACAGCAAGAAAGGCGCAGATGTCATGATTCTTTCAGATACCAGAGTAGCTGCAGATCACCCCTACTGGTCCTCTCTGAACCTTCCATTCTTCTCAGCCACCTCGTCTGTGACCCGTGCTGGAGGAGTTGCAGTTCTCAGCCGGCGCACAGATCTCTCCTTTCACAATCCCTTAGCTCACCCCTCGGGAAGACTGATTAAGACAGAAATCCACTGCTCCACCTTTCATCTTACCCTGATAGCCACTTACCTACCAGCAGACAAGGCAGAAAAGAGAGCCTTCATTAGAATCGTTCTTTGACCAATCATTAGCCTCGTCCCGCCAGGAACTCACCTGCTTATTCTAGGAGATCTCAACACCATTGAAAACCCGCTGCTGGATAAGACCTCTAAGCTTGGGTCTACCAGAGAGAACGACTTTCTTTACCATCACTGTCAGTCCGTTGGTGTCACAGACGCTTTCCGCTTTCTCCACCCTGGGGACCTAGAATTCACCTTTTTCTCGCAAGCGCACCAAGAGAGCTCACGGATCGACCGGGCGCTGGTCTCTCAATCCTTGCTTCCGCGCCTGGTGATCGCTGAGCACGTTTCGCCAGATGAACCAGTCTCCGACCACGGCTTTGCCATCCGGGTGACTTTCAAGCTTAAGTCACAACTGAAGCTGGGGCCGGGAGTATGGCGTCTTCATCCTTCACTGTTGGGCAGACCCGGGGCTAAGAAGAAGATTGAGGAAGTGGTGCGGATAGTTGAACAGAACGGAGGGAGCTTCACGTCCCTTATCTCTCGCCTGAACTCCAGTCTGAGGGCATACGCTAAAGAGGAGAGCAAGAGAATACGCGCGACTATTGCTCACCTTACCTCGGCGGTGGCTTCTCTACGGCAAGAGTTCATGCGCAACCCGAAAGACTTAATGCTGAGAGAAAAGCTGAGGAAGCGTGAGCAGCAGCTCAAGGAGTATTTCGCAGGGCGGAGAGAAAGGATGAGTATCATGGCTGGGTTGGAGCTGGCGTTGTCTGGAGAGGTTCCATCACCTCACTTGTCGGCGCGGATTAAGACGCGGAAGTCCAGAACACAAATTGCGGAGGTTGCTGTTCCCGGGGGGGTGGTATCGGGGCCGAAGCAGATACTAAAAGCGGCGTCTGGCTACTTTCGTAGCCTTTTCGGTGAAGATAAGCGCACTGCGATCTCTGACTGGGTACCCGCTGCAGGAAAGAAGCTAATGTATTCCGACACTGAGATGCTGCAAGAGGAGTGGACGGAGAAGGAGGTCAGAACAACATTACATGAGATGGCGAGCAACAAAACGCCGGGGAAGGATGGCTTACCAAAGGAAGTGTTTGAGCTGCACTGGGACAAGCTTGGGAAGCATGTCATGGAGCTGGTCCGGGAGTTCAGCCAGTCCTCTTCACTCCCTACCAGTGTTAAGGATGCGGTGACGATCCTTCTGCACAAAAAGGGAGCGAAGGAGCAGTTAGATAACTACCGTCCCATCACGCTGCTGAACATCAGCTATAAGCTACTGGCGCGAGTTCTGGCGAGCAGAATTAAAAAGGTCCTGCACAGGGTGATTTCACGGGAGCAGTTTGGCTTTATCCCGGGAAGGCGCATCTCGGATGCGGTGGGTTTGGTCGCTGATGTCATCGATGCAGCCAGAAATGGGAACGAAGACTGGTACATGCTGCTCGTCGATTTTAAAAAAGCGTTCGACTTGGTGTCTCGGAACTTCATCCTTGAGGTGATGGAGAAAATGGGGTTCCCGGCCCGCTATGTTGGATGGGTGAGAGGCCTGCACATGAACACGAGAACGAACTTGTTGATCAACGGCTGGTTGGGTGACGCGGTGGAAGTAGTCTCGGGGGTCAGGCAAGGCTGCCCCTTGGCATCTTACCTCTTCCTCTGTGCAGTGGAACCACTGGCGCAGATGGTCATGAAGCGGAAGCTGGGTATCTCCCTCACCAGCTGCGTCGGGCAGAAGCTGTCATATGTCGGTTATGCTGACGATACAACTCTCCTTCTGCAAGGGAAGCAACAAATTGGCAGGGCGGAAGAGGAGTTGGAGAAGTTTAAGAATATTTCCGGCCTGGAGATGAACGTGGACAAGTCAGTGGTGATGCCCTTAGGGGCTAACCTGGGGAAAAAGTCTTGGCGCTCGGATGGTTTTCGCTGGGCGGAGAAAGATGAAGCGGAAAGGCTCCTAGGGGTTTGGATTACGCCGAGCGGAAGCTGCCAGCCGACATGGGATAAGGCGCTGCAGAAGATGGTTGCGAAGATGTCGTTATGGCAGCCGCAATATCTCCCGATTAAGGCTCGGACGGCGGTGATGGACGGCTACATACTGCCGATCGCATGGTCGCAGGCGCAGGTCTATCCTCCTCCGGCGCAAACCTGGGGGGTCATTACTAAGATGACTCACAACTTCATGTCAGCCAACAAAGCTTCATCGGAGAACTGTTTCCGTCTCTGGAGCAAGGAACTGCTATTTACGCCGGTTCTGGAAGGAGGTGTGGGGGCGATGAACCCAGAAGCGATGCTTACCTGTCTGACGGCTCGGAGGATAGCGTTGACGCTCACGGAAACAGATCAGCTGAAGAGAGCATTGATGCGGCAAGCGGCTGACCTACCACGTGGGCTGGAGACTTTCGCGGCACATGTGAAGCTACTAAAAACATGGGAGGGGAAAAGCCAGAGGTGGATGTTGGCATGCGCGAACTTCATGCACTCTCCGCTGGCGGATTCTACTGAACAACGGGATTTGAAGGAGCTGTTGCTGGAGAGAATCACTTTTAACAGACACGTCCTCTTGAACGGCTCCACACCGGTGGGAGGACAGAAGGCGGTGAAGCAGCTTCATAATATCAGGTTGGGTGACCTTCTTGGGAGAGATACGGCAGGGCGAGGAGTGCTGAAAAGCTGTGAAACCCTAACGAGGGAGCTGAGAGGGAAGGATTCTGCAAACCTCGCGCTCAAAGCTTTTGCTGCAGCACCGGCGTCATGGAGGAGTCAACTCCTCTCTGACGTGCTTCCGAACGTGGGGTTCGCGGAGGAGTATGAGCTGGGGAGAGGGGGACCTTCACAGCTCCGGATGAAGCTGCTAGCGGAAGGGGGGGCAGTTCCACTAAAGACACTCAGGAAGCACTGGAGGCTTGGGGACAGTGGAAAAACTAGACGGGAGAGATGGGCAAGCCGTTGGGGGGGTAGCATTGATTGGAAACGGGCAGTCCAAATTCGCGAGTCGCTGGTCACCCCCAGCCGGTCGAGGGATGTCTTGCTACGTATCCACTGCCTTAATCTTCAGGTCGGGGAGAGGCTGGAGTTCCTCAGCAGCAAACCGGTTTGCCCTCACTGTGGAGGGTTTGAGACGTTAGAGCACTGCTTTTAGAGTGTCCAAGGACTCAGGGGGTGGTTTCAGCGGTAAAAAAGGCCTTGAGGATGATCAACCCTGCCAGGAAAAAGGACTCGCTCGGTGATTGGTTATTCGGTGAAGCGGGTTCCATGTCAGCATTCCCGGAGGCGTCGTTGATAGCGATTGCCCTCCATCAGCTGTGGGTGGAGAGATGTGAAGGTGCCTTCAGGGGCTGCAAATTCCGCACGCGGAGAGTTCTGCGGAAGATTGAGTCAGCGCTCCGCATGCATGTGAATGTCTACATACGTGCCTCGGCCACGAGGGTGCAGCAGCGAGGAAAAGGGCAGCTCGCCAGGTGGCAGAAAATGACTGAACAGGAACGTACTCTTCTGGATCGGATCAGGGTGGTGGATGGCAAAGGATGGAAATGGTCCAACAGTTTTGCGGCACTTTGGGGCAAACCTCGCAGGCCCCGGATCCATGTCTGAGGATCAGATATTCCTGGAGCGAGTCCTCTCGTCTCCCTTGCACAGTTACGACTGTTATGCGTTGTACACTTGTTCACTCTAGTGTATGATTCATTAAGCAAAAAAAAAAAAAAAAATGTGTTAAAACCGAACCTACATTCTGAAGGTTGCTTCGTTTTTGGTAGGGAGCTTTCTGATTCTGGCTTGGCGCCAATGTGCTTTTTGTGGCGCGAGTCGCGTTTGCTCCGCAACCATTTGCATGAGGTGATGAAATGGCGCGAAAACTGTTCATCGTTCTGGTGATGCGCTATCTGCTTGTCATCGCGTTACAGAACTATGTTCAATTTCTGCATTGAAAATGTACAACGCTGTACCACGGGGAAACAAATATACATATTGTAAGGAAAATTCCTTTCCCTTACTTCGCGTCCCGGCTCAGCGCGTACACCACTGTAGCACCACAGTCAGCACCGTTACCACTCGCAACCCTCGCATCGACAATTTTCCCGCCACCTTCGCACGTCTCACCCCGACCTCACGGCTCGGCGGGTAACCCGCGCTCCGGGCCTCCGCTTCGATATTTCCCCAAACCTAAGTCACAGGCACGTCGCGTGACAACCACAGTCCATTGCCGTTACCACTGTAGTTTCGCTATATATTCTTCACTCATGCCTTCGCTCAAAGAACTCTTGCTTCGATAGTGCAATTCTCGCTCGCTCACTCAATTGCACTCGTAACACTTAGTATTCATAGCCTACGATCTCTTCTCGGACCGCACCCACACATTCGCTTCCCCACTATCTCAATGTTTTAGGGGGGTAGACGTCTCTCAGCGACACAGCACCGCCGCTCGTAGTGCTCTCTCATAAGCACGCACGGCCACGACAGAGGCTCTCGTTGAGCTTGCCCGACACCCGCTGCCATGGCCGAATTTACTCTCGCGACACTGACGCAGGAGCAACTCGACCGTCTCGTGCGCCAAGTCGAAGAATCAGCGCTCAAAATTGCGACGCTCGCGGCGGAACGTGACTCCGCGCGTCAGACTGAGGACTGACACAACCCGAGCTCGACAAACTGAGGAAGCATTTAGATTACTTGTTAGAGAAGAAATTCATCCGACTGATCTCGTCACCGTTCGCCGCACCGATACTGTTAACGCCAAAAAAAGACGGAGGGTTTCGTATGTGCATCGATTACCGAGCGCTCAACAGGGTAACAGTCAAGTCGCGGTACCCCATTCCCCGCGCCAACGAACACATCGACCGATTGCGAACAGCACGGGTTTTCTCGAAAATAGATTTAAGGGGGGGCTACCATCAGATTAGAGTCAAACCATCGGACTGCGCCAAAACAGCTTTCCGGACTAGGTACGGGTCGTTCGAGTACACCATGATGCCCTTCGGGCTGACCAACGCACCAGCGACTTTTCAGATGACCATGAACGAGGCGTTTAGGCCACTTTTAGATAAATGCGTGATAGTTTACCTCCACGACATCCTCGTCTACAGTCGAGACACGCAGCAGCACTTAGCAGATCTGGAAGCAGTCCTTCAAATTTTAGACGAGAACCGGTTACTAACAAAGGGCTCTAAGTGCGAGTTTTTTAAGGACAGGCTAGAGTTTTTGGGGCACGTTATTTCGGAGGCTAGGGTCAAAATTGACCCAAAGAAGTTGGACACGGTGAAAGCCTGGCACCCCCCGACGAATATCACGGAACTACAGAGCTTTTGGGGGTTCGTCAATTACGTGTGTCGGTTCGTCCCTAACATGGCAAGGTTAACAGCGCCGTTGACGCACTTGTTACGTAAGGGGGTCGCTTTTACGTGGGGGGAGAAAGAGCATGCTGCCTTCTCTGCCCTGAAAAATGTTCTCTGTTCACCGCCCGTCCTGCGCATCGCCGACCCACACCGCCCATTCGAAATAGTTACCGACGCAAGCGACATCGCCCTAGGAGCCGTACTGCTACAGGACTTTGGCAACGGCCTACAGCCCATTGCATTGTCGAACTTATATGCTATAGTATGTTTAGGCTGTAGTGGGGTAGTCTATATGGGGTACAACACTTTAGGGTTTCCTACTTGTACTCCTCATGCTGCTCAATGCAATCATTCCTCATTTCTCACATGGTATAGAGCAGGTTCCCTAGTGGGAACGCTTCCTAAGGGCCCACCACTAATTTATTTTTTTCTTCTCGGGGCGCGCTTCTCTCCTTCCCGAGTCGAGCCCCGTGTGCCCTCCCTCCCGTCGCGTCCCTAGCCCTTAGCGGCCCGTCGCGCCCTCGTCAGTTCCCTAGCGGCCCCTTTCGCGGCCCCTCGCGGCCCCTCTCACGGCCCCGTCGTCGCGCCTCTAGGCCCGTCGCGGCCCCTTAGCGGCCCCGTCGCCGCCTATCTAGGCCCCTCGCGGCCCCTTCGCGGCCCCGTCGCCGCCTCTCTAGGCCCCGTCGCCGCCTCTCCAGGCCCCTTCCGGCCCCTCTACGACCCGGTCGCCGCCCCTAACGGCCCCGTCACCGCCCCGGGAGGCCCCAGTCGCCGCCCTTCGCGGCCACCTCGCCGCCCTTAGCAGCCCCGTCGCCACCCTACCGGCCCCGTCGCCGACCCTAGCGGCCCCGTCGCCGCCCTACCAGCCCCGTCGCCGACCCTAGCAGCCTCGTTGCCGCCCTAAGCGGCCCTGTCGCCGACCCTACCGGCCCCGTCGTTGCCCTACCGGCCCCGTGGCCGCCCTAAGCGGCCCCGTCGCCGACCCTACCGGCCCCGTTGCCGCCCTACCGGCCCCGTCGCCGCCCTACCGACCCCGTCGCCGACCCTAGCAGCCTCGTCGCCACCCTTTGCGGCCCCGTCGTCGCCCTTCGCGGCCCCGTAGCCGCCCCTAGCGGCCCCGTCGCCGTTCTTCACGGCCGCGTCGCCGTCTCTACCGGCCCCTTCAACGCCGCCAGCAGCCCAGCAGCCGAGGCGCCCGACAGCTCAGCCGCCAAGCCGCCCAGCAGCCGAGCCGCCGAGCCACCCAGCAGCCGAGCCGCCGAGCCGCCAGGCCGCCCTGCAGCCGAGCCGCCGTGTCGCCCAGCAGCCGAGCCGCCGAGCCGCCCTGCCGTCGAGCCGCCACTGTCATGTCCGACGCGCCCCGGCCCTACTTCCTTGGACTGGTGAGCTCACTCCCTGCTAGACCACTGCAGACATGGCTACCCCCAGTGTCCTTACCTTTGATACTGAGGGTCGTGCTGTTGACTTTGAGGTCTGGGTCGATGACCTCCAGCTGTTCTTACAGTGCGATAGGGCAGACGGACTCTCTCTGTTCGATCTCACCTCTAGTGTCTCTCCTGCCCCGCCTGCTACTGCTGACAGCACTGTTCGCTCACAGTGGGCCACGCGCGATGCTGCTGCACGTCTTGCTGTGCGTCGCCACTTACCGACCACTGAGCGTGTGCAATTTAGCCAGTACAAGAGTGCTAAGACCTTGTACGACGCTCTAGTTGCACGCTACTCTTCCGCTGCCACTACTGCGCTTAGCCGCCTCATGCTGCCGTACCTGTTCTCTGACCTTGCTGCCTTTCCCACAGTCGCTGACCTCATTACGCACCTTCGCACTAGTGACACTCGCTACCGCGCTGCGCATCCTGCTGAATTCTGTGCCAAGAACCCCCCCCCCATGTACATCACCCTCTACTACATAGTCACCCGGCTCCCTGACTCCCTTCGCTTAGTCAGGGACCACTTCCTCTTAGTTTGCCCCACCACACTCACCGTTGACCTCCTCGAGGAGCGCCTCCTAGCAGCAGAGAAGAGCATAGTCGCTGTAGGAGCCTCTCGTGGTGACCCTCGCACCCCTGTCTTTGAGGGGTGTTCTCCCTCCCCCCTCTTGCCCTCTGTTGCTCCTGCTGCTGCGGCCGACCTCGTTGGCTTCGAGTCGGTCGGCGCTGCGTCTGTCCCTAGCGAGAAGTGCCGCACCGGCAAGGGCAAGGGGGGCAAGGGCGCAGGGGGGGCCAGTGGGGGCGGTGGAGGTGGTGGTGGAGGCAGTGGAGGGGGTGGGGGTGGTGGTGGGAGTGGTGGCGGGGGTGGAGGTGTCGGTGGCAGCAGTGGAGGCGGAGGAGGCGGCGGTGGTGGCGGAGGGAGCGGAGGCGGCGGCGGTGGCGGAGGCGGCGGAGGTGGCGGAGGCGACGGAGGTGGCGGTCTGCGCCAGCAGTAGCAGCGCGGTCTTGAGACCCTGTACCCTCAGCAGCTTCGTGAGTGGTACGCTGGGCGTCAGCGGGGTGGGGGTACTGGTCCCTGCACCTACGTCCTCCGTACAGGCGACTGTGCTGGTGAGCAGTGCGGGGGCACGCACTCCACCCAGCGCTGCTTCGGCCGCATGACGGACGCTTGGCGTCATCAGTTCCCTGACGCCACTGAGATCCCTCGCTGGGGAGAGCTGTCTAGGGCTGGGGCAGCTATCTTTGATCTTGACTATGATGCTATTCTTGCTGCCATGCATGCTGTGTCTACTGACGATGAGGGTGACTGTTACCTGTGTGTTCCGCCTGACCCGGGCATTGAGGCTGCTGCTCTAGGTGCTGGTGAGACTGCTGCTCCAGGTGCT